AAATGGGGACAGGATGAAGTCAGTCTCACAGGTTCTCCCTGCTCTAGTGACTGAACACTATGATAAGTGCCAACTTCCTCATCCTGATTCTGCCCAATAACCTACTTATCTTAACAGAAGCAGGTTGGTTCTAACTGAGGATTAAGTCTCTTACCTATCACCCATAATTATAAACTTTCTGCCAACTTTGGATCTTTCCATTGTTTTAAATTTAGGAATTTACTCTTTAATGCGTTATTCCATCAATTTCTAATTTGGCTTTTCAAAAATTCCTTCTTATCTCCTGCAGCTTGATTAATTTAAAAAATTAGATCATAACAAATTGCACAATCCAATGGTGAAAACAGGTTGTCTTAGACACAGCTGCTATGAATTATGCAAGCCAAATGAGGATCTAACTTGGTAATCCAAGTGGCTCTACATCTTTGATAATACATGTAGTATGGTCCACTTGGGTCCTGGGTGAAACTACTACTACTGAATTCATATCTTATAATGACAGACCCTTCCTTGTTTGTAGTGTATCAGCTGAGCCATCCAATAATTGTAGCTCTTCACTCAACACTAACTCCCAGAGACAGTTCCGTGGTCTCCTCTGTCATCTAGCAGCCCAGACAACTGTCTTTCATCCTCCTGTTACACATCACTAATCTAAACTAGGAGGAACACCATAAGTCACATTGTATCATCATCATAATACAAGGGAGATTACATTTTCTCCCAAACATAATCAATATGACTCATACCTGTGATATTTCATTATTATCCCATTAATATCTCTTATTGTTCTATGAGTCATCAGTGAGATAACCATAAACAACTAACTCACTATATCATACACCTCTCCCTTCTCTTATCTCAAATGTCCCTCAGCTCATTGAACTTTGTTTCTTAATCAAGCTAACTTCATTTCAGAGCACTCATTTTTGAGGGATCATCAAGTTTTCTATTTGTTGCCAATCAGGGTGCACAGATATCACCGCTTCAATTAATCATGCTTGAGCAATGATGCCTGAGTGAGCATAAGTCACCCGGAAGGGTTGACAGTACTGAGCTGCTACCATAGCGCTCCATTAGCTAACATCGTTCACCATTATACTATCAAGATGTATTGGGCTGAAAATTCCACCATTTGAATGGTTCTCATTTAACCATACTGATGATACAAAGTTCATCCCAACATAACTCTAGATTGCTAGTAAGACCGGAAGGTCAGCGTCCGAAAGGATCACTAACACTAGCAACCTCGCTAAAGTTCGCCTGGATAGGATGAACCCGCTACTCAGGACATGAATAAAATAGAGCTATGAAGAGAAAACTTTACTCTGGCCTGAATGCTGAGAGTAATCAGAAAATCCAGGGCGGAAGCCCGAAAAGTTTTGTGAACGAACATGAGAAGAGGGAGAGGGAAGGCCACATATATCATGGTATTTATCATAACACTTGCATAGTAAAAATTTGGGTTAAAATATATATATATATTCAGTGAAGACATACCCGGAAGGGCGAAAAACAAACGTCATTCACTAAGTGACTTGAAAGCAGAGAATTAATAGTCACCATGTTCAACTGTCTACGTATATAAAAGACGAGCCGCGGTCGCCAGGCTTGACCAGACCGTATAAAAAACTACCCCAAACACAATATTTGAGAGACATAACCAAAATAAAAGTCACTCAATTTTCTCACCGTGCTAAGATGTATAAATACCGAAAGTAAAATCCTCGTGGCACTTAATATTTCAGCTATTACAACACAAATTAGAGGAGCCTGCTTTGTGCGCGTTCACAGGTGATTCGCCAGGCAAAAGATGACGGTAGTGATGCAAGTGCGGGAGGGGGTTTTGAGAATCGCAACTAAATCCCAGGTAGCGACGTCTGTATGTTGGGCTGGCGAGTTTATGCTAGGCATATACAGTATAGGTATAAAGCTAGACATCGCATTCTGGATTGAACAAAAATAAAAATAATACCAATAAATAAGTTAAAAAAAATACCATATTGCCAAACCCGTAAATAAAAGCCAAATGTAAGTTTATCACAGTTGCCATTTGCAAACACTCCCTGCTTCATCATAGCAACAGAGACCAGCTGGGACGCTACCTCCACCAATTCCCTAGCAACGCTTCCCACCATTACACTCTGCAACCTTCACCCGCTCCCTCACTGAGCCAGCTAACTTGTGTGTAAATAAATGTATATTCGTATATTCCCTTATTTTATTTTTTTCACAATATGTATGTAGGATGGTGTGTGCATGTAACTGAGTAAAAATAAATGAACAAAGTTATATATATATCTGCCAGAAAATATGAGTAGAAAAACAACCATTAGCACATCACAGCTTGGTCCAGTAGCCTGGTGGTTACAGTGACGAGTCTAACATGGCTGCAATGCTATTAAATCCGTAATCACTAATAATAACAGTATATCCAGTGAAATATGGCAGGGAACGAGGACAGTTACAACATCAGACGACTCACTAACTATCGATCATTCACTCCCCTCCTCGCTCATGCCAGGCATACGATCAAAACATGTGTGGGAGAAATACAAATCTTGTCATCTAATTTGAAAACGGTGACGGGCACAGTGACGAACAAATTATATAAACCATGCATTTACCCAAGATAAATTAATAAGAAACATTGTATCATTACTAACTCTTTTTCTAGTAAATCCTGCTGGTCCTTAACCAAAAACATCTGTAATAACTTTGCACTCCATCTTTTCCTCCTCTCTTCTGATCTGATAACTCTACAGCCAACTCTCCCCCTGATAAAGCCAATCTCTTTGGCACCTTATTCTCCTCTAACTCCACCTTAGACAATTCCAACTCTACCCCCCCTTCTGAACCTATGTACTTTCCTATAATCTCCACTCGTAGGGTTGCCGGTGTGTTATCCAGGTTGGATGTGAGTAAGGCGCATGGACCGGACGGAATACCCCCTCGTGTTCTGAGGGAGTGTGCTGAAGTTCTAGCCCCTGTGCTTGCTTGCCTCTTTTGCCTTTGCCTCAAAACCCAAACTTCTCCTTCTTCTTGGAAGAATGCCTCGGTTCAGCCCATCCCGAAGAAGGGTGACCATTCTAATCCCTCTAAATATTACCCCATTGCCCTAACTTCATCCCTCTCTAAGATTTTCAAAACTACCTAAAACTCATTTTCTCCGTCCCCTTGAACGCCATTCTCTTTTGTCAGATCACCAGTATGGCTTTTGCCAGGCCAGATCTACTGATGATCTGCTCTCCTACTGCACCCATCTTTGGTCATCCTCTCTTAGGGATTATGGGGAAACTTTTGTCGTGGCCCTCGACATCTCCAAAGCATTTGACAGGGTATGGTACAAGTCTTTGCTTTCTAAACTTCCCTCTTATGGTTTCTTTCCTCCACTTTGTTCTCTAATCTCTAGCTTCCTTGAGAACCGATCCATGGCAGTTGTTGTCGAGGGATCGCCCTCTCGCTCTTTCTCTACCAATAGTGGTGTCACACAGGGTTCTTTTCTTTCACCTACTCTCTTCCTTCTGTTTATCAATGATTTACTTCACACAACGATTAATTCTATCCATTCTTACGCTGATGATTCTACTCTTCACTCTTCTCCACATTTTTCCCTTCTTCCTAATTCTTAAACTAGATCTGTTTCTAGAGCTGATATCATTTCATCTATGAATGCGGATCTGTGCAGCAACTCCAAATGGGGAGGTAGAAACTTGGTTAAATTCAATAGTAATAAAACACCGTATTTACCAATTCACTTTCCAAAATAGAAGATCTCCCACCAATCACATTTCAGGATACAATCATTCTGCCAAATTCTAAAATATATATGCTAGGCCTCACCATTTCCTCTAATATGTCATGGAAGCCACACATCCTCAACACTGCTAAAGCTGCTTCCCGAAAACTGGGAATGCTGTACAGATGCCATAGCTACTTCACTCCTGAGCAGTTGCTTGAAGTTTATAAGGGATTAATTCATCCTAACTTGGAGTACTGCTCTCATATCTGGGGTGGCTCTTCTTCTGTCCAACTGTTAGATAGGGTGGAATCAAAGGCTTTTCGTCTTATTAACTCCTCCTTTAGTTGATAATCTTTCTTCCCTTCTCTTCGCCACAATGCTGCTTCACTCTCTCTCTTTTACAGGTACTTTAACGGGCAATGTTCGGTGGATTTGGCATCCTGTGTACCGCCGGCAAGGCCGTGGGCTCATAACACTCGTCTTGCTGCGGTGCCCATCGTTTCTGTGTGGATGTCGGTCACACTAGAATAACCCGTATTAGTACATCCTTCTTTCCTCACACAGCCAAACTGTGGAATGCTCTGCCTTCTTCTGTGTTTCTATACTCATACAAACTATCTCACTTCAAAAAGCTGGTTTCCTGGCATTTTCGTGATGCAGTTTAATAGTCTTTTTCTCTTCTATTTTTAATTTCTTTTTACTCGTGTTTTTTTTTTTTTGCCACCCAGGCCCCGTTGTGGGTCAATGATCTGTGCCCGGGTGGGTTATTCCCCGTAAACAAAAAAGTGAATGAAATACTGTAATATTCCCACAAACAATAATTAACAACTCTATGTTTTCTGCCTCCTCGTGCACCTGTGTTCTGCTCGCTGACTTCTTGGTGACACAGGCCTATAATGATCTTTGCTCTGTTTTGGCAATGCTTCTTAGGGAAGTTATAAGCCCCCGGAACCCCTAATTTTTGTCCGAATCTTCTGAAATGCAGATTTACCGGGTCCGAATCTTCGAGGGTGCACTGTACTGTAATAGTATACCGATAAGTTATAGAATCAAAGTAATAAGCCCAACAATGAATGAGCACTGAAACAAGCAGACAAAGAAGGAGCAAATCATATTTATGGCAGTGACAGGACGGATTTACTGTATACAGGTAGTTTGTTTTCGGCTCATCACATACCATCTTAAAAATTCAAAATTTCCATATAACTTAAATAATCTCAATTTCATGAGTTTTTTTAAATCAGAAGCAAGGAAAACTTACCTGTTGGAGAATCATCTGAGGGTGATGTAGGTGAGGTAAGTTTGACTTGGTCTTTGCTGTATAGGATCTGGTGTTGCTTGTGAAGACGATGCTGTTTTAGCTGTTCAACCCACTGTAGATATACTTCACGCGATTTACACTGAAAAAAATAAATAATAAAAATTATATATATATTTAGGTAATATTCAGAAATTTCAGTGTAATTTCAAACGCCGCGCCATTGACGATGCGGAGTTCAAGGTCGTCTGAGGGAAAACCGCGCTCCCGCACGTAGCAAGAGTTTGTGGAACTAGGCCTATACGATATTAAATGTAATTTACCGAGTTAATAGGGACGCGAATCATGAAATTAAATATCAGTTATTAAATTGAAAATAATTATAGATCATTTCCCAGTCTGAAAATGTTGTGTACGTCCTAATTAAGCTGTTATCGTCTGGTAAATAAGTCACTCCCGGAAAGCGTGAACCAGTGAGCAAGCGTGGCTGGGGAGTCGTGAGAGAGGTCAAGGACCACCTCTGTGCTGTCCCCAGGAGAGACGGATCGCGTGACCTGGTTCCTTCGTTTATTTAACAACAGTATTAACAAGTAAGTTTTATTCAATCTCAGACAAAGCTTGATAGGGCGGTAGGAACAAACGGTGATGTGAGACAATAGCTAACAGCCCGGGTTTTTCAGGGTTCTGTAGACCCCACGCAGTATGATAACGTCCACTGGCGGTATGAGACACAAGTGGTGAAGCGAGCTGTATGACCGTCCACTGACCTGGGTTTGAGCCACCTGTTGAGTATGGTGAGAGTTGGAGTGATCCCAGCTGTCTAGGTGCCCAACTAATGACGTGACGATCGTTTAGGGTCATCAACTCTCCTCTACCTCGGCTCACAATACCACACATCTTGAAGCAGCTTAGTGAAAACCTTTTACTAACGGGAAGCTAAAGCTTCTCTCAACTGTACAAGGTCTGATTGGCTCACTCCCTTCCGTTTCATGGATGTACAGTCGGCCCTTAACATACGTGGGGGTTACGTAACAGAGATACCCGTGGATGTTAAAAATCCGAGTATTTTTGCTGCCCCCCAAAAAAACCGTGGCCCCCCCATGTCCTTATTTACCGTATATACCTGTGTGTAGTTCGAGTTTTTAAGACCAAAATATTTGGCAAAAAATTGGGGGGTCGACCTCTAAACGGGTAATAGTTTCGTTAGGTTGAAAAATATTTACCAGTAACTACCAGTAAACAATGGAAACGATCCATCAACGCACCACCAGCTATGAGTGTCGGTACAGTTGCCAGGGCAGATCTCTTGCATCATCATAGCAAGCCCAAAGTAGCCAAATCTATGGTACGGTATGCACAGGACGATGTAAAACATAAAGTATTCATTTATTAAAGTTTATTTATAGATACTGTACATAAATTTTTGTTCATTACATTTGAAACATCAATCTTTGTTAATTAAATTTGAAACAAAAGAAAACTATGATACCGTATTTTCATTAAAATATTTCATCACAAGTATATTTTACCTTAACTGTGACTGAATGAATATACGTATTCTCAGAAATAAATATGGAAATATAATATTTTTGCTGGAATGACGTACATATTACAGTGGAAAGTGGGATAAAATCATGACGAAAACAATGACTTTCGCTTTCTTTCGTTATTCAAAAGATTTTACCGTAATCTCTTTTCAAATGGTTTTCAGTTAAAAAACTGTTGTACTCGTACTGTATTACAATAATATTCTATCCTATCATTAGCCTTATAATCCCACAACTGAAAACCATTCGAAAAGCGATTACGGTAACATCTTTTGAACGAAAGAAAGAGAAAGTCATTGCTTTCGTCACAATTTCATCCCACTTTCCACTGTAATACGTACATCATTTCAGCAAAAATATTACATTTTCATGTTCTCAGAAATAAATGGTAGTTTTGTTGAAACGTAATGTACAGTATTTAATATTAAAATGCAAAAATAGCTATAAAAACAATTAATACACCCGTAAAGTACTGGCTGGCATCTCCACTTGTCCCTGGTCCCGCGTCCAAGGTCACCACTCCTCCCAACTCGCTCCCTCCTCTACCTACTCCACCCCCTCTGCCTCCTCCACCCCCTCTGCCTCCTCACCGTCACTACTGCCGACAACGAACACAAATGTTTTGTGAATAACTGCACCTTCACTTCCTATGTACAGTACTGAACTGTACTGTGCTGTGCATTTTTACAAACAATAAACATGGCAAGAAAAGCTATTAAAAAAAAAAAGAGATAAAAATTTCACTTTACTGAACCGTACCTATCCTCAGCGACAGGACAGGGGTCATTGGGCTCATCGTCACTCAATTCCATAACGGGTGGTGAAGTGGGGGCGACGGTGGATTCAGCTGCTTCCTCACTGCCGCCAATGATTGATGGTGTTAAATCTCTCCTTCGGTGATCAAAGAACATGGAGATGGGGAGTTGTCGTCTCTTTCTTTCATTTCTTCCATGATGTTTTTGTATGGAGCAAAAACGTCATCCATCCCTCGCATGAATTTCAGGGCAATCACCATGGAGGGGTCCATACTATAGGCCAGGTTTTTCAGTGCCTCAATATTCCTGGTCATCTCCCCCAACTTCTCCAACGTTATTTCTTGGTGCTCTTCCTCTTCCCCTTTCGCTTCCTCTTCCTCTTCCTTGCCTGCATCTACTAACTCCTGTAGATCCTCCTCGGTCAGCTCAGTGTCGTGCTCTTCAATTAGCTCCCTAATCTCGTCCTCTGCCATGTCCTGGAAGCCTTCAGCAGCCACTTTCCTTGACAGTGCCAGGGTCTTTCTGAATATTTTCATTAAAATCCATCAAAATCATTTTCCTTGTCATCGTCTTAAGCACCAAACAGCTCCTCCCAGTCTTCTCCTTGAACAGGGCTAGAGGGTACGTGTTTTTCGAATCGTTTTCAATTAAAAAAAATGTTACAGCACATGTATATTTTACCTAAACTGTGCCTGAATGAATAAATTCTCAGAAA